AAATTCCTATAAGCCTATGCTTGCAAGACGACCTGTACTGACAACATGACACTACTCACTCCTCAAAGTCTTTGACTTTGAAAACAATAAAAACCTATATTCAACATCTTCTAGGAAGCATCTCAATCTCCTATAGCTAAATTCTATCCCAGGAGTGGTCAACATTATAAAATCTTTGATAGGAATGAGTGATGAAAAAAAATCTTGCACCCAGCAGGGTTTGAGCTAGCCACCCTTTAAACTCTAGCCACACACCAGACCTCTTGACTATAAGGAAATTTCCACTAGCCGAGGCTAGTAAGGTGACTTGTACACTCAACTTCTACTCTTGTAAAATGGCAAGGAAGCAAAGTAATTGCTGTCTGAGAATATTACCCTTAGCTATTCGACAGTTGATCATATATATAAGTGTTCCCATGTCTGTCCTGCTTTGTTCCAGATCAATGTCATGTCTTGAATACTTCTCAAGAGATTTCCTATTCAGCACATAGTATCTTATAACATTAGGTTCTACACCTGATCTGATTGTGCTTTGAATTGGAGCAAGGGTGTTCATGTCTTGATGACGTTTTCTAGGTTTTTTTATGTCCCTGGATGGAAAGGTCGGGGGCATATTATTTTTGTGTTGTCTGTTTGTCTGTTGTCAACTTTAACGTTGCCCACAGCTATTGCACTGTATGAATAGGACTTTCATATTTAGCAAGTGTGTCCCTACTGAAGAGACCTTTCTGGAGGTACCAACATTTTTCACCACTGACCTTGACAATGACCTTTGACTACATTTCAAAAAGATATAATTATGGCCATAACTATTGTACTGTAAGAGGTAGGGCTTTCATATTTGGAATGTGTGTCCCTTGTGACAAGATCTTTCTTGTGGTACCATGTGACCTTGACCATGACCTTTGACCTGCATTTTTAAGTAAAAAAAATCGTCACCACAACGAAGACAAGTGTATCACAATGTCTACATACAATTAGCACATGCCTTTCATAGTACAGTTTTAGTGTCCCGTTTCATAATTTAATTACAACTGAGGGTATATTGTTAAATAAGCACATGTTGGTTTTTATTTTTTTCTAAGTAAGAGCGACTAGTGGTTATATCTTGTTACCTATGATGGATGGTTTTCTAGATGTTAATGACAGCTGGAATTACAAGATTACATAAGATGCATCACAACAACCAAAACAATGTGACTTGAGGCTCTATATGCAGCTGATGAGGAAATGCACATGTGATGTGTTCTGGAGTCAGATGGATCTCGTAGGTGGAAATGTCAAACAGTGGGCCTCATAATATATATAAAAATATTGGTAATCTGTCATTGAATCGTAGACAATAATTTGATCATTCTATTGATTATAAACCAGATTTACTGGTACAGTGTACAGAACATCCAACAGGACATCAATATTACCAATCTTGTATTGTTTTGGACAAGGAGCAGACATCAACAGTATAAACATATATAGAGAAACAGCTAGCTCCACTTCTCAGAGATGGTCAATGTTCATCTATCACAGAACAAATTAGGGTATGACAATGTCTGATGAGTTGCCAGCAATGTGTGTCTGGAGCAGAACTCCCTATCACATTTTTTTCACCAATATGACCATGAAAATGTATCATCTGTACACTGAGTGTCTTGTGATGACATTGGGAGGTCCTATGTGCCCCTTTGTTCCTAACTGATACTGAAGTTTCACCAGGAGTAACTTTGATATCCACATTGGTATATTTCTTATTGTTAACAGATTGTACAGGTCATCTGGATTTGATTTAGAACAAATACGGTATTTCTGTCCTTTATTTTATTGTCTTGTTGTTATTTATAAGTTATAGTTTTCTTTATGTAGAGTTATATGCCTTAAGTTGTGCATATTTGTTCATGGCACCTGTGGGTCTTTCAGACAATAGGAACTCCTTTGAGTTGGGATTTAGGTTTGAAAATCAGTGAGGTACAAGTCCTGGGCTCCATGAAGACCAGTGAGATAGTAGTCCAGGGCCCCATGAAGATCAGTGAGGTACAAGTCCTGGGCTCCATGAAGACCAGTGAGATAGTAGTCCTGGGCCCCATGAAGATCAGTGAGGTACAAGTCCTGGGCTCATGAAGACCAGTGAGATAGTAGTCCTGGGCCCCATGAAGATTAGTGATGTACAAGTCCTGGGCCCCATGAAGACCAGTGAGGTACAAGTCCTGGGCATCATGATGACCAGTGATGTACAAGTCCTGGGCCCCATGAAGACCAGTGAGGTACAAGTGCTGGGCTCCATGACAGTATAACAAATTTATATAGACAGTCCTTATTCCAGCCCGACTTGGGGATGGTGTAGGGGAAGGGGGGATTCAGCTTTATGCTATTTTGCTGATTCACTTCTTGTTTCAATTTAAATACCATCTAGAGTTACAGAGGAGTTTAGGAGTGTTTTAATACCTACAGTACAGAATGTGATATTGATTTTGCCTTTCACCATACTTTGTGTTAGGAGTTTTTAGTCCTGTAATGCTCATGTTTCTATAATCACCACAAGTAAACACTTTATAGACAGATCTGTTTGCTCGTGCAAGTGGCTTCTGAATGTTACACTGGCTTAGAGTTAAAAGAACAGACATAATAGTGGAATGGTTTGGGGTTGGGGAAGGAGGATACAGAATAATTCAGAAGATGGGTTGTAGAAAATGGAAGATTTGGAAAACTTTCTTCAAGTCTGGGATAAAATTTCATTCAACTACACTCCCAAACCCAGAGCTCAAAGTCCATACTACAGACCAAGAGGCCATCTTGCCTTAGATGTCCCTCAATGGCTATGGAGAAGCTAGATGTCCCAAATCTTAAAGGCTTAAATCTTGCCTTAAATGTCCCTCGGTGGCTATGGAGAAGCTAGATGTCCCCTGAATCATGAAGGCGACGTCTTTCCTGCATTATCAGCAGCTACCAGATTTGTCCAGCTTTTGGGTCGTGATGAGTAATAATGTGACGGTAGGCCATTTGACATTTTGTGACATGTTCCATTTACGGTTCCATTTAGGTGTGTGGATGGTGTCACTTTTTCTGTATGGACTACTCACCTAGTTAGTAAGGAGAGTCCAGTATTGATTTGTGGTTGGCCATCATTAGGGCATTACCCTGGCTTGATGATGCATGTGAGAAATCATTATCAAAAAGGATGGCGGTAATTTAGTTACACCGTTTCCAATAGGAGGGAGACAAAACTTGACTTTCTTTTGATAGCAAGTTTTATGTGCTAATTGCCATTCACTTAAAGGTTACACTATGTAAATCTGTATATACATAACAAATTTGAACTAACACAGGCACAAGGCACTGTAACAGAAATTCACACACATTTTCTCTCAATTAGCATACTCTTTACATGGTGTCACTGTGGCAATGACATAAGCGCTTCTGTAAAGCCCTAGAGCCTCATCCTCTTATGATCTTTTTCAAGGACCTAGTCCTTGTATGATCTTTCCCTAGAGCCTCCTCCTCATATGGTCTTTCCCTAGAGCCTCCTCCTCATATGGTCTTTCCCTAGAGCCTCCTCCTCATATGATCTTTCCCTAGGGCCTCGTCCTCATATGATCTTTCCCTAGAGCTTCATCCTTGTATGACCTTAAATGACTGGTACACAGACGATAATTAAAATAACTCAAAACTTAAAACATTTATCTTGGTTTCCTCTCTGATATATGTTGGTGTAATAGTAGTAGATAATGTTTCTTTGGTAGCTCTGGTCATCACAACAAAATCAGATTTCTAGAATTTGAAAAAAATACTAAATTCATGGACAGAGTTAAAACTATACTGACCAAGTTGTCTGAGATGGCGTTGATTAAGTATTATTTTAAATACTGAAGTCATCGATCTTAAACCAGTAAATGGTTTTATCAATGATGATGATAAGCATAGGGAAAATTCTGTTCACTTATGGTAATCTATTTATGTGATATACTTATCTGTCACACCACAGATATCTCAAAAAAAGGAAAATTCTTTTTCACTTATGGTTATCTTTTTATATGATATACTTTTCTGTCACACTACAGATATCTGAAGATAAAGAGGATTCTGTTCCAACAATGGTAGTTTGTGTGGAACTAAAAAATTGACCATTGTTGAGTTCAAGCTCAAATCATACAACCATACATTTCAGCTGTGGTAACAAACATGTATCTACCTTTTATTTTGCTCAAATGCTTGTGATGCAAAATCTCACAATCCTCAAGTTTAAAAAATCCATCCTGGTCTTTTGTTTGCAATCTGCCAGAGATGTGTAGATTAGATTTGAAACAAACAATAATTCAAGGACAGATTTTATGGTATTCTGGTAGAGAATCCAAATTTAAAAGACATTTATAAGTTTTAATTTGCAAATAAACAAAGGAAATGGTGCTAATGGAATTAAAACCAAATCCATTTATAATTTTTTTTTTCAGTATAAGGAATTTCCATAAGAAGACTTGGATCAAAATCACAATGTGGTTCATATATGTTTTCTGTTGATCAAAGTTTAATTTAAAGTTATATTTTGTAATACATGTCTGTATTGAATTATAAGAATTCCAATATATTGAACAATTTTGTTTCAGGTTATGTCTTATTGTGCTGCATGCCAATTTTAAATAGAGATTGCAGCCTAGAGCTTTTTGTTGGTCCCATTCAATGCTTTTTCATTAAATACAGTGTATTTTCTTTTAGCTGCAAATGAATATATATTTCTTATTTACGGCGTAGTTATTAGTTACGTGTAATACATGTATTTGATATGTGAAGTTGATAAAGTTCAGAATTTAGTAATAGGAACATTATACATTATAGATTTTAATGGTGTTGACTTGTATATTGTTGGTGATTGAGATAAATGTTCTAGATATCTGATTGAAATTAACAAAATCAGAGCTTTTTAGAATATTCTGTAAATTTGAATAACATTTCTGTTAGATTTAAAAATTTGACTGGAATGTGATTTGTGACTATATTTCTAAATTTAACAGCGACATCCCCAGCCCAGAGAGTTCAGTTCCTGCTCGGTGAGGAGGAGGATGAAGAGCATAAAGCACATGATGTGTTCTGTGAGATGGCCGAACTTCTGTACAAGGACGGTGGAGATGTGGAGTGGAAAGAAACGGCTAGGTAACAATGAATTATCATCCTTGTATTGCAATGCACATAATAATTCAGGTTACAGTGAATTATCTCCCTTGTATTATAATACTGCATATAACAATTAAAGGTAAAAGTGGATTATCTCCCTTATAACACTTTGGCCCAGGCAGATCACCAGCTGTAAGATTGAACTTACTTTAGTAGATTGTAATTCCCATGAGTAATGACACCACAGCTTGACCTACCATATCACTTTGGAAAACTGGAAAACTAGACATTGTCTGTGCATGCATCATCCTTTGGAAGCAAGGCAGTGATTGGTTGTTTTTATCCTCTTATGTAACTGCGTCAGATGGAACATCCTGAGTATAGGATATGAAAATAAGCCAGGCAAAAGTGGATTGCCTCCCTTTTTTTGGAACACTATATATTACCTCCTTTTTATTTTAACACTATATTTGATAAGCTTTTGTATGATAAAATATATACTACAGTGAAGAACCGTTCTTGTCTCATATCACTCTATGTGACAAGTCCGAAGTCTATGGTTGAAGGTAATCCTTTCTGTTTTGTAGATGGGTAAAGTTTGAGGAGGATGTAGAAGAAGGAGGCGAGCGGTGGTCTAAGCCCCACGTGGCCACCCTTTCACTTCACTCTCTGTTTGAGTTGAGGTGTAACATCCTCCAGGGTACTGTGATACTGGATATGGCTGCAGATTCACTGCCATGTGTTGTAGGTAAGTAGATTCATTACCATGTGTTGTAGGTAAGTAGATTCACCACCATGTGTTGTAGGTAAGTAGATTCATTACCATGTGTTGTAGGTAGGTAGATTCATTACCATGTGTTGTAGGTAAGTAGATTCATTACCATGTGTTGTAGGTAAGTAGATTCACCACCATGTGTTGTAGGTAGGTAGATTCACTGCCATGTGTTGTAGGTAGGTAGATTCATTACCATGTGTTGTAGGTAAGTAGATTCACCACCATGTGTTGTAGGTAAGTAGATTCATTACCATGTGTTGTAGGTAAGTAGATTCATTACCATGTGTTGTAGGTAAGTAGATTCACCACCATGTGTTGTAGGTAGGTAGATTCACTGCCATGTGTTGTAGGTAGGTAGATTCATTACCATGTGTTGTAGGTAAGTAGATTCACCACCATGTGTTGTAGGTAAGTAGATTCATTACCATGTGTTGTAGGTAAGTAGATTCATTACCATGTGTTGTAGGTAGGTAGATTCATTACCATGTGTTGTAGGTAAGTAGATTCATTACCATGTGTTGTAGGTAGGTAGATTCACTGCCATGTGTTGTAGGTAGGTAGATTCATTACCATGTGTTGTAGGTAAGTAGATTCATTACCATGTGTTGTAGGTAGGTAGATTCACCACCATGTGTTGTAGGTAAGTAGATTCATTACCATGTGTTGTAGGTAAGTAGATTCACCACCATGTGTTGTAGGTAGGTAGATTCATTACCATGTGTTGTAGGTAAGTAGATTCACCACCATGTGTTGTAGGTAAGTAGATTCATTACCATGTGTTGTAGGTAGGTAGATTCATTACCATGTGTTGTAGGTAAGTAGATTCACCACCATGTGTTGTAGGTAAGTAGATTCATTACCATGTGTTGTAGGTAAGTAGATTCACCACCATGTGTTGTAGGTAAGTAGATTCATTACCATGTGTTGTAGGTAAGTAGATTCATTACCATGTGTTGTAGGTAGGTAGATTCACCACCATGTGTTGTAGGTAGGTAGATTCACCACCATGTGTTGTAGGTAAGTAGATTCATTACCATGTGTTGTAGGTAGGTAGATTCATTACCATGTGTTGTAGGTAAGTAGATTCACCACCATGTGTTGTAGGTAAGTAGATTCATTACCATGTGTTGTAGGTAGGTAGATTCATTACCATGTGTTGTAGGTAGGTAGATTCATTACCATGTGTTGTAGGTAAGTAGATTCATTACCATGTGTTGTAGGTAAGTAGATTCACCACCATGTGTTGTAGGTAGGTAGATTCATTACCATGTGTTGTAGGTAGGTAGATTCATTACCATGTGTTGTAGGTAAGTAGATTCATTACCATGTGTTGTAGGTAAGTAGATTCATTACCATGTGTTGTAGGTAGGTAGATTCATTACCATGTGTTGTAGGTAAGTAGATTCACCACCATGTGTTGTAGGTAGGTAGATTCATTACCATGTGTTGTAGGTAAGTAGATTCACCACCATGTGTTGTAGGTAGGTAGATTCATTACCATGTGTTGTAGGTAAGTAGATTCATTAGCATGTGTTGTAGGTAGGTAGATTCATTACCATGTGTTGTAGGTAAGTAGATTCATTACCATGTGTTGTAGGTAAGTAGATTCATTACCATGTGTTGTAGGTAGGTAGATTCATTACCATGTGTTGTAGGTAAGTAGATTCATTACCATGTGTTGTAGGTAGGTAGATTCATTACCATGTGTTGTAGGTAGGTAGATTCATTACCATGTGTTGTAGGTAGGTAGATTCACCACCATGTGTTGTAGGTAAGTAGATTCATTACCATGTGTTGTAGGTAAGTAGATTCATTACCATGTGTTGTAGGTAGGTAGATTCATTACCATGTGTTGTAGGTAAGTAGATTCATTACCATGTGTTGTAGGTAAGTAGATTCACCACCATGTGTTGTAGGTAGGTAGATTCATTACCATGTGTTGTAGGTAAGTAGATTCATTACCATGTGTTGTAGGTAAGTAGATTCATTACCATGTGTTGTAGGTAAGTAGATTCACCACCATGTGTTGTAGGTAAGTAGATTCACCACCATGTGTTGTAGGTAAGTAGATTCATTACCATGTGTTGTAGGTAAGTAGATTCACCACCATGTGTTGTAGGTAAGTAGATTCACCACCATGTGTTGTAGGTAAGTAGATTCACCACCATGTGTTGTAGGTAGGTAGATTCATTACCATGTGTTGTAGGTAAGTAGATTCACCACCATGTGTTGTAGGTAGGTAGATTCATTACCATGTGTTGTAGGTAAGTAGATTCATTACCATGTGTTGTAGGTAAGTAGATTCATTACCATGTGTTGTAGGTAAGTAGATTCACCACCATGTGTTGTAGGTAAGTAGATTCATTACCATGTGTTGTAGGTAGGTAGATTCATTACCATGTGTTGTAGGTAGGTAGATTCACCACCATGTGTTGTAGGTAAGTAAATTCACAACCATGTGTTAGAGATAGGCAGATTCACCTACAGTTGTGGTCACTGAAACTGCTTACTTGGGATGTGGCTTCACCTCGTTGATTTTGTGTGTCGTACATCAAAAGGAGGTCACCCTGACCTTTATTATGACTTTGTTCTACATCAAAGAAAAAGTCTGTCTGTCTACATACTACACTACTAGTCAGTGGAACTCATGCTGAGGCAGTGTGGTGTATATCAGAATTAGGTCACTCTGACCTATATTTAACCCTCAACATGCTTTAAAGGATAAGGTCGTATAGGTTTTTTGGGCCCATTTCCTAAACTACTCGTCAATGAAACCTCTTATTAAGACAGTTTGTCTTGTATTAGAAGTAGGTCACTCTGATATATATTTTAACCTTCAACATGCCTCAAAAGGAAAGGTCGTATAGACTTTTTGGGCTGCTTTTCGTACACTTCTTATTAAGATAGTGTGTCTTGTATTAAAAGTAGGTCACTCTGGCATATATTTTGACTTTTGACCTTCATTGAAAAATGTTTGTCCAGGCTCTTTCTCCCTACGATACTTGTCACTGAAACTTATACTTTGGGTATGGATTCACCTTGGTGACACGGTGTGTAATGTATCAAAAATAGGTCACTCTGGCGTACATTTTGACCTTTGACCTTCATTGAAAAAACAGTTGTCCTGGCTCTATCTCCTGCACTTACTAGGCAATCAAAACATTTTGTATGAGTGTGCATATTGACATCATGGTTTCAAATAAGGTTACTTTTACTTTTGAAAACTGTTTGATGTTCTCGTTCTGCTGACAGTTATTGTCCTATGAACATCAAACATGAACACAACTTTAACTCTTTAATGATTTCCCTATATCCACATTCTGGTTTTTAAAAAAAGGTCACAGTTACTATGAATAGAAATCATTCCATTTTATACCTGAATTGTACACACATCCTGAATAGAATATAGGCCCGTTGCTATTCTCCTGAACTTTTTGAAGTTCTTTTATGTCCTTTCAATTAGTTCTGGCATGAATAGATATTTTTACTCGGTATCAATAAATAAAATTTGCTCATTGTAAAACAAACATTTTCAATCTCATCTCTCTCTATCTCGGCTATTATTACAATATCTGTCTTTTTAGATGTTTTCCTGGACAATATGGTGGCTTCAAAACAGTTAGAGGAGCCCCTCAAGGAAGAAGTACGCGACATTCTCCTACTACGACATCGACATCTCTACGATCGAAAACACAAACACGATGAAAATGGTGGTAGCAAATACCACCTGCCCCTTATACGTTCCTTTGCCGAGATAGGCAGGAAGTATTCTGAGCCTCGCGCTCTAAATAACCATGGTAAGGACACCGACAGCCCAAGTCCACCCGGAGAAGGTACAAAATAAATTTTCTAAATTTTTCTCTCGTGGCTAGACGTGGGCTTCCAGTATCGTGCATGTATATGCTGCACAGTACATCTTCTGTTTACCCGACTACTTTTAGTGTGAGTCTTCAGTTTATTTCATACTTCATACCCTTTTTATCATTATTTACATTTTTTTTAAATGTATTGGTGTTTTTTATTTTTTATTTTTTTAGTTAACTGTCCTTAAATGAAGTTTGAATTTTACATGATTTGATATCAAATGTTAAGTTTAATTTGAAAAAAAAATATCATCGATTATCTAGTTCAGTCTACCAGTTATGCAACATCCTTTATCTCCTCCTGAAATGAACTTATCTTACCGATAATTAAAATTCAATATGAAGTATGAACTCTGTTCCTTTTCCCCCCATATTTTTGTAAATTCCAAAATTCACTAAAATCTTTGCAAAAATATATATTCATAGGAAGTATTAGTTTTTACTAGGAAATTAAAAGAAAACAGAAATTCAGGTGTAATACAGGTTATTTTGAAATTTCCACTTACTAGATGAATTTAAGTACTTTGTGATGCTGGGAATAACTGAATAATTGGTAGAATTCACCAAAATTTTCACATGGTGCATTAGCAAAAAGGAGAATAACTATTTCTTTCTTAATATTTGCCCATCAACACCAAAACTTCCTCTGTCTCATCTGATAAAATGAAATGACGAAAAGTAACTCCGCACGATCAGATTACACAGAAAATGTCATTAGGGTCAAGAAATAGAGAAAATGAGAATTTTTTCTTACCTGGTATTTAACTACAAAGATTAGAGAAAAGAGCTCCACTGTGAGTGAAATGTTAAATAAATCTTGGCTCTTTATGATAAACCTTTTCAAATGCAACTTATCATTTCTATATTGAAAATGATCTGTTGTGTATATGTTTATTCTGTCGCTAGAATAAATTCTTTTTCTTATATCTAAATGTATTAGTGCGGCTGACTATATATACCTGTAGTAGGCTCTTCCTGTTTGTTGCTGCTAATATACTATTTCTCATTTGAAATCTTACTGTACACCTGTATATCACCATCATTATTTATAACAGCAACATTTGTTTTGCGTTTGTATCAAGTATGGCTCCTGAATTCTTCACCACATTGTGTCACAATTTTTTTTTTTATTTTTGAGATTAAATGGTACTGATATTATTACTTGTGAAGGCACAATGTTATTTTGTTTGAACACATGATACGATACTGGAATGAAATTTAAGGTAGGTTTTAACAAAAAGGAGATTCAGCAAAGATTTAATATATATGACTCCAATACGAACCTATGTCCTAAGCACACTTAGCATGAAGAATTACACAAAAAGGTTAATTATTTGCAAAACAATGATTATAAAACCATTATGACTAACTATGAGCAGTGTTTTTTCTACCTGAATTATATAGCTACCTTTGCTTGTATTTTTTTTAATTTGAAAGATATTCCTAAATTTTCCTTTATTTTAGAAAAGGAGACTTTTTACCTACAAAAACAGTGTTTTTGGCTGTAAAAACAGAGCAAAAAATATAATTATACATTATTTCATTAATTAAACCAACACTGTCAAACTTCTTTAACATGTAATATATTTTCCCTTTAAAACATTTAATCTAATTATTAACCCCCTCTTCCTTACCCCTACCCCTGTTGTGATGAACTTACAACTAACTTGTCATGCGCTAAAAGGCTGATGTATCAGCTCGCAATAGAAGTGATTCAGGGTCCCATACAAACACAAGTTATATATTTTTTTTCCCTTGTAGTATGAGAATACTGTAAACATATCTATTTTGGCGCAATCAAATTATAGTACAATATTAATTTTGATTGAAAATTAAAGGTGTAAAGGCTCAGTGGTGTATTTGCTGTAATATCTTTCTTAACGACATGCTTAAATGTACGATTAGCAAAATCATATCACAAAAAGTGCTAAGATAAGATTACAGCTAGAATATGTACCTTTACAGTATTTAGACATTTTTGTTCGCCCATGCATTCAGAAAATTTGACGGAGGCTTGCTAATTACTATTGATTTTATTATTGTAAACTAGATTAGGCAACAAGCAATATATCTCTATGTTATGAGGCTCTGTGACAGTCCGTTTGAATTTGTCAAACTTTCTTGTTTGTATTATAAATAGCCAGTAAGTATAAATGCTGATAATTTATCTAAACAGTATTATGGCATAAGTTGATTCCATCATTCATAGAAGAAGAAAAATATTTATTAAAAAATATCTTTTTCTCAAAATTGAGACAATTTATTGAAAGATATCTTTTTCTAAAAATTGAGACAGTTCATTAAAAAATCTCTTTTTCTCAAAATTGAGACAAAAGATTGAGTTTGGAATTTAGTAAACAATTCATTGAGTGAAATAGAAAAAAGGTATTTGCATAATTCAAGATTTTATGTAATTTTTGTGGTCAGCAAAGATAAATTGAAACCTGCTCTTTGTCAGTCTAGGCAGCACATGGAACTTAAAAATTAATTATTGTTCAAACCTTATTTTGTTTCATTTTGATGGTTCTGCTGAGATTTGTGCCCCAAGTTTATTTTTTACTTGTTGAAGCAAAGGTATTATTTAGTCTTTCGGCTCATATTTCTATTTCAAAGAATGAATCCCTGAATAGAAAGTATTTCTGTTTGTCATACAGTTGATATTTTTGATGGAGTACACAAGACATACCCCCGGTATATGTGTGTAGGTAGAATTTAATTTGATAGTTTGTACAGGTAGAATTCAGTTACATAGATATAGTATTAATTTGTAGTTGATGTGTTGAGAGAAAACATTTCGTGAGATATACTGAGAATGAAAGCAAAATTCTAATGTTTAAAGAAATATATCTTGTTACAAGTGTCACATGTCAATTTTTCAGAAGGTACATGATATAAATAGATTGAAGAATGTATATCATGTAGTAAGATTGACACCCGGTCTATTAAGGTTTACGAGACACTGTAAAATATGATCATTGGTGTCATCTAAATAAGGCTTGGCCGAGCTAGAATGGATCTGCAAAATTTATTTAAGTGAAAGATTGACGAAACACAAGAAAATGTAGTAATAGCCTTATTTCATACCAATGGTTTGACTTCTGAATACAAGTTTTGTTGTGAATCTGAAACAGGAAGAAAGTGAAATGAATATTTACTGACAACTTTTACTAACAAACCAATGTTGATTTAGGTAATAATTTATCTTCTTTTTATAAATAAACAAAAACTTTAACGTATCAATGTTTTACGCCATCAGCAAGATTTAAGTTGTTTTGTAAGAAATTGGAAAAAAAGTCACCTCAGGTTAATAGATATATCATGACTTACATGTAATGGATAAACAATTTTTAATTTGTTGTTTAGATGTTGCCTAGAAACAGATATTTTATGGAAATAAACACAAACTTGTTAATCAGAATTAATTATCAACAGGTTGTTGCCTAGAAACAGTGTTGTTGCTATGGTAATGATCCTATTTTCAGAACTTTTACCACCAGCCGCAGAAAAAAAGTCATCCAGTGCTGTTGACATAAATTGCCTAAGTGTTGATGGTGAAACCTATTTTTCTGTTTTGGTTTCCTTTATTTACCTTCTGTTGAACTTAGACACGGTTGAGTAACCGTGGTCTGCATATAGAATAGCATGCACCCCACCCCCCACTCCCTGCATCAGATTCAGACTGGGATTCAGTACTGGAAATGATTTTATATTCAATTTTTTTCCTCTTCAATTTTAAATTTGGTTATATAAAAAGAAAAAAAACCCAAATTTTTCTAGCGGAGTTTTAAATCTAATGTAAAAATTTTGTGACAGTCATTTATATATCTATAAAATGTACTGAATCTTCGGTGTAATAAATAGGTTATTTTGTTCAATAGATATGTTCAGAGAACAAAGCTTTGGATTTGTTTTAAACAATATTCTGTTTAGATATTGTCTGCTGTTTTTGTTGTTTTAGAAAAAATCCTGAATATTTTCAACGCTAATTTTTATATAAGTAGAATAATTGAATGAAGGAATGCAGTTTTTTGGCCAATCAGATTCATCGCTGATCATTATTGCACTTTGGCTGTCAGTGGATGCTTTCGATGACATGATTGTTGTTTGTGTATATAAGAGCTTGCAGGGTTAAATCATTTTGAAGTTACAGAGGAGTTGTTTCCCCTTGGTCTCCAATTTTGAGATCAAGTAAAGCGATAGTGCCATGATCAATTATTGCGTTTATTAAAACAAAAAGTAAAAGGGTTTAAGACTACAAGATGGCTGCTCTCAAATCGGAGAAATCGGTTGGTTAAAGATTAAGATGTCAAATTAAAAGTTTTTATGTCACCAGAAATTATTTTTGTGATGTGTAAGGATTTAGAATGGGAAATCTGATGCATTTTCTCGGGGGAAAATAAGCCAACCAGACTTGAATACTTCAGATTGGAGTATCACAAACACAACTAACATGCTACAAGGTGGTGATATATTATACATACACTTTAACATTGTTAGCACCTCTGTGTAGTTTCTCTCTCTATATATATATATATATATATATACAGGATAACTTTGTAAGTGGAAAGAATTATATACTTCTAACAAAGGTGGTATGGTATTATTGAAATCTTTTTATATTACCAATATCACATTAAATACACCCTAGATATATTACAGGTCTTATTTTACTGTAACTTAAATAGATATCCAGTAATACATTTTGATTACGCAGGAAATTTTGAATTTGATGTTTTCCAACCCAGGATGTCTGTTTTAATTTTATGGAGATTTTTTTTATTTTTACGTTTTTGAAAAGTTGTCTTAAGAGCAAAAACCTTGACTTTACCAATTACCAATCTCTATGTCAGGCAAGATAAATACAAATCACAAACAAAACCTAAACACATATTATCAATCTTTTTTTGTTCTTAGTAAAGCCAAAGATTTTGAATTTGGAAAGACATGCAGTCCTCCTGATGTTTCTTGTCCTACAAAATGATGACTGTTTGTTAGAAATACACTCCTTTCCTTTTAATTGTCCAAGTACAGCCTTTTTTTTTTTTTTTTTAAATTTTCCCCAGAATTTAAAATTTGTCAAGAAAAATACATTCCTTTCCTGTGTCCAAATACAAGCCACAATTTTGAAAGATATTGCTCATGTTAAACTTCCTCATTTCCTTGGAATGTCGAGAGTTTGTCATTACAAATACATTCCTTCCCCATGTCCATTTTAAGCCAAAGTTTTGAAAGACGTTGTGTACAATGAACTTTCCTTTTTTCCGTAAAGAGATTGTCATCAGAGTCCTTTCCCTGAACACCCCACATTTTGACAACTGATGACATTTTACAAATCTATATTAGTCTGGAATAAATGTGATGGTCATCTTATTAAGGGGAATTTTTGATTTATAAAAAAATGTTATGTTCAATTTCAATGGAATTGATCTATCTACTATTGGACAATACTATGTGATAATTAAAAACTTCTAAACAATTGTTGTTGATTAAATTTTGAATGTTGTTATATAATAAGTATTTAGTGCTAGGCAACATGCTTATTGTATATAGAGAAGAATGTTCAGATTGTGTTTAGCTTAGCAGAACTGCGTTATTATAGCTGGAGTTAAGTTAGCTAGTATGCATAAATGTTATTCCACAGGGGTATAACTGCATTTTTTTGTTAAATATTTAGATATGAAAGGTAGCTACTTTGCATCACATATGGTTTGAATGAAGTTATGAATTATTTTAATTAATTATAAAATTTACAGATATTAGTTAATTATAAAAGTTATATATATTTTAGTTAATTATAAAAGTTATATATATATTAGTTAATTATAAAAGTTTTCTGTGATTTAGGGAATAGCAACGTTATGAATTAGCTATTTAGTAAATGTGTATTAGTGACAGAAAATAGCTGTGTATCAGTTTATTGATTGTTATTTCACTTGTCAAAGTAAATGTTAGAAGTAACATGTTGTATCATTATAAAATTCAGCAGTATTTTCAGTTAGAAAACTTAGTTAAATTTTCAATGAGACACAATTCTTTTACATCCAATTACCAGTGGGTACATAAGAATTGATTTCAGAAACATTCAGAATGTGGAAATAAATTGTTTTGAAAATCAAGAAATTGTGCTGACAAAAATTCTGAATATATAGAAAGTGATAGTTGTATAATGTTATATACATACTAATAATTAAATTTGATAAATTTTTCTTTGTCATGTGATTCAGTTACATATCAATGTTCTGTGAATACTTTTCATTTGTTAAATCAAAGTCTCAATAATTGGATGTACCTTGTATCCAGTATTTAATCATTAAAACTTTCATGGCGAAAAATGTGATCTGTCATGGACTAATTGTGTTTTGGGTGGCAATCTGTTTACAGTTGGATTACCAGGAGCTAAAAGTACGCCAAACTTCAACAACTTACAACGTAACAACAGCACACCACGGATAGAGCACCACAACACACAGCCATCCTTCCTCAGCCATAATGGTAGTTCAGACATTCTCGAACACTCTTCTAATCATAAGGTAAGCCACAGTTGTCTCCCTTACTAAGAACAGAGTAGTTTTCCTTAATATTACTTGTCAAACATAATTGAGAATTGTTTAAAATATTTTGAAAACATGCAATCAGTTGATAGGTAAAGTGAAAATGAAATGCAGTGAATTTAAAAGTTAAAATCCCACAGTTTGTTTCCAATATTTTGCAATATTTAGCAATTCTGAAATATAAACCATTGACTGGATTCCATTTTCCAGTGCTTGGTGAGTCTCAAAAGACGTAAAGTAATTTAATTGTAGATTTAAAAGGTTAAAAAAAACCCTTGAGAATCCATTGATTTGGAAGTACATTTCTATCATCAGCATTCCAAAATTGGTTGTTTAGCTTAATACCACTTGAAACCAAATGACAGGTTTATTGTATTCTGTTTGAGGAGTGTATTTGTTTTTCAGTGCTTTAAAACAGGAAATGCAGTCAAAACCATGTGTTTTTTATCTTTATTTTTCTCAAATATAAACCAAAGCCATCATCTTTTAACCTAATCTCCTGGATTCCAGGAGAAAGTTGATAATTTCTCTGTAACATGGTTTTGGAATGTCTAGTCACAAAAGGCAGTATTGATCTATCTTTGAGGGAAAGTTTAAGCGTCATGGTCTATCGAGCATTGATTTTGAGTTTGGCTTGTAGAAATAATGTACCTACCAATGTACTTTTTTTCAATTATTAACAAAAAAACTGAATTTAATAGCCAATCAGACAGCATTAACTATAGGCTCCAGTGTCGATATCTTGACCTTTATGAATGAATTCCAGATAACTGTACATTTTAGCGGTTTAAAAGAAAGGTAAATTTTTTATAGACCTGAACAATTTTAACAGGATTTCTGTGTGGTGTGGAAGGCTTAAAAGTCATAAAGGACATCGCTGTGATCACCATTAGGGTCATCACTAGGGATACTACTATCATTAGGGTCATCACTAGGGACATCACTATCATTAGGGTCATCACTAGGGACACCACTATCTTCATCTTTAGGGTCATCACTAGGGATACTACTATCATTAGGGTCATCACTAGGGATACTACTATCATTAGGGTCTTCACTAGGGATACTACTATCATTAGGGTCATCACTAGGGACATCACTATCATTAGGGTCATCACTAGGGACACCACTATCTTCATCATTAGGGTCATCACTAGGGATACTACTATCATTAGGGTCTTCACTAGGGACACCACTATCTTCATCATTAGGGTCTTCACTAGGGACACCACTATCTTCATCATTAGGGTCATCACTAGGGATACTACTATCATTAGGGTCATCACTAGGGACACCACTATCTTCATCATTAGGGTCATCACTAGGGATACTACTATCATTAGGGTCTTCACTAGGGATACTACTATCATTAGGGTCATCACTAGGGACACCACTATCATTAGGGTCATCACTAGGGACACCACTATCATTAGGGTCATCACTAGGGACACTACTATCATTAGGGTCATCACTAGGGACACCACTATCATCATTAGGGTCATCACTAGGGACACAACTATCATCATCATTAGGGTCATCACTAGGGACACCACTATCTTCATCATTAGGGTCATCACTAGGGACACCACTATCATTAGGGTTATCACTAGGAACACCACTATCATTAGGGTCATCACTAGGGATACTACTATCATTAGGGTCATCACTAGGGATACTACTATCATTAGGGTCATCACAAGGGACACCACTATCATTAGGGTCATCACTAGGGACACCACTATCATTAGGGTCATCACTAGGGATACTACTATCACCATTAGGGTCATCACTAGGAACACCACTATCATTAGGGTCATCACTAGGGACACCACTATCACCATTAGGGTCATCACTAGGGATACTACTATCATTAGGGTCATCACAAGAGACACCACTATCATTAGGGTCATCACTAGGAACACCACTATCACCATTAGGGTCATCACTCGGAACACCACTATCATTAGGGTCATCACTAGGGACACCACTATCTTCATCATTAGGGTCATCACTAGGGACATCACTCTCATCATTAGGGTCATCTCTAGGGACACCACTATCATCATCATTAGGGTCATCACTAAGGACATATCATGGTCATCACTTTATCATTGATTCATAAACATCATCAGTAGGATGTCATTAAAAGTAATTTCTACGCCAATAACTTTTCACTCTTATTCAGTAACAAACATCTGTGTGATTGAGTGCTGATTTGACAACAAGTTCTCTTAATATCTGAGTGATGTCACTTCTGTCTTTAATATAAACTTTATTTTTATTCCATAACAACATGCGAATAATACATAGCAAAGTAGACAGAGGAATTGGAAACAAGTTAACAACTTATATAAATCCTTTTCCACTTCTGTATTTAACATGAGTGTTATCATATACATATATACAAGTCCAATCCAGAACTAAGTAAAGTTATTTTTAAAAAAACGCTGGACAGCTAGCTGAAAAATGGAAACAGAAAGTTTAAAAATTAGATTCTCACATTAGAAATTTGTCATAGCTAGGACATTTCTGGTCTCACATCAGTTTTGTGATTTTGAAAGTCTGCCTGCCATACAGTGTCATTAACCAAATTGATTGGCCAGGTTATATTTTCAAAAAGTGGATTGGACAGTGTTCTCTATACTATGTGTGATGACAGTTCAGGTGATTTATATCTTTCTTCAATATACTTGTATAAACTGTAATTTTTTGAGTGATTTTTATGTATATCTGTTTGGTTACCTCTATTAACCAAAGCCATCCTTAGGGGACGCGAAGTTAACGGTTTCGTCAGAACATGCGACTCATCCTCACCATGATAACCATACCAAGGTAGCTGGTAATAAACATCCTACGTTATATATCGTCAGAATGTCGTAGCATTTGCTGATATTTGGTGCTTTCGCCCACTCTACTTCAATTTATACACATTTTACCTGTATCATACAATTGGGATAGTTTGAACTCACCAATATTTCACTCTAGAGTTTTTGTCAGATTCAAGTAATGTAATTAACATGGTGGAGTATGTGATTTTGTAATGATCTTGTCTTGTAGAGTAAATTCATATAATGGCACTGGCTTATTGGGTTTCTTTCTGTAATGTATTTGGACTTGTGGGGATGTTTATATAATTTATGAACTTGTGGGGTACATTTATATGATTTACGAACTTGTGGGGTACATTTATATGATTTATGAACTTGTGGGGTACATTTATATAATTTATGAACTTGTGGGGTACATTTATATGATTTACGAACTTGTGGGGATGTTTATATAATTTATGAACTTGTGGGGATGTTTATATAATTTACGAACTTGTGGGGATGTTTATATAATTTATGAACTTGTGGGGATGTTTATATAATTTACAAACTTGTGGGGTACATTTATATAATTTACGAACTTGTGGGGTACATTTATATAATTTACGAACTTGTGGGGTACATTTATATAATTTACGAACTTGTGGGGTACATTTATATAATTTACGAACTTGTAGTGGTATACATTAGTTTTAACTGAGAATCTAATTAACACTAAAATCTAATAATATTCAAACTATCCCAATTCCATTATATTGTATTAAAAGATAAATCTCCTTCTGAAATAAGCCTGTATATGCTGTACTTTTTATGAAGTCTTTTTTGGCACCTTTGTCAAGAAAAAGGTCATCACATAGAAGATTTATATGAAATATTCTCTACTTTACTGTGAAAATCGATTTCCCTTTCGTTTATGTCCTGAGGAGTTGAATGGATGGGACGATAAGATTTTGATGTTGATTATTTGTTCTCCCATGCCCTAGGACCAACTACTGCAGGATTCATGGGCTCATTATCAATATTTAAAGCTCTGATATTTTTGATACCCCGCACAAATCCTCGGTAATGTAAAAAGGGATCAGGTTGATAAAGTGACTGCCCGTTTAAGAAAGCTTCAAAGTCATGTTTGTGAGACTATAGTATCAGTATTTAAAAGTCAATGTTAATATTTCTTCTGGAAAACTCCTGAAATGATTTTAATGAAATTTTACAAAAGCCTTCCATGGCTGAAGGTGCACCATATTTGTAAATTATATGCCCCCCCCCAACCCCCAACCCCCTGGGGCCTGAGTGGCGGGGCTAAAAACTGTCTTGTCTTCACAAAATGAATCGGAAAATTAATCTATCATTAGAATGTCAAAACCCTGTATTATACATTAGATATACCTCATATGTTTAAAAAATATTCAGATACTTTTCATACCTGTACCGATATGGCAGAAAGCCCCTGTAGAAAAATAACCCACTGAAAAATATCTTCTCTTTCAATATCGTGTTCCCCATCAAACATATAACATCTCTCAACTCTCGATAGATAGAATATGTTTATATCATTAATGCCAAAAAAGACTTCTACCACCAGTAATCATTCTGTTGTATAGGCAGTTACTAACTGGACTTTCCAGTATGACTTGATGCTTGTATCAAGAATACATTATACTGCATGAAGTTTTACAACTATGCTATATATGTACCAGAAAATTATTTTTTGAATTGGCTTTTTTTTAAATTCATGAGGATTTAGATATTGAAAGCATTTTTATGTAATGAATTGTGCCAAAATTTAATTGTTTTAAGTGTTTACAGGGTGATGATGGTATGAAGTTAATTGTTTGAATATAAATAAGAAATGTTTTTATGAGAAAGTCCATTAAGATTTAATGTTTGTATTTCTATATTATTTTGTGTATGTACGTGAGGAAATATTTACCTCAACAAGACTAAACAAACAGCTACGTGTATGGTTAAGGTGTAACAAACAAAAGTATACCACAAATATCGCATGTTGCTAATTCAAACCCAGGATGTGGAAAGGTTTATAGCAAGAACAGGGTTAATCTGCTTTATAACATTTTACAATGGTGTTGGAAACATCCTGAAATTGGTTTATCTGTAATATAGCATTTACCACAAATAAGTATAACAAAAACAATGTTTAAAAGATACAATGTATATCAGAAACATATATACAAGATGAATTATTCATTTGATACAATTTTAATGTATATTGTAAACACGATTAACAGATCAATGTGTATATAAAATATTATGTTACAAACAATTTATGTAAGAAACATATTTGTCAGATGTATATATCAACATATGTATATTTATCAGATACAATGTTTACAAGAAACAGTATTTTTGAGAAACAATATACAATGTGCAGTTATTATTATAAGTGTGTTGTTCTCATCCACCCTTGATGATCAGATGTTGTGTTGTCAGATCACCTTTGATTTTAACAGTAAGATATTTGGTCTTACACATGAAGAAGCAATGATGGCTCTTTCTCAGAGTCTATAAGTTGGTTCCTGTTAATATCGTCATAGGTGTTTGATTTTGGGACTGGTTTGAATATAACAAAATGGACGACTTTCAGCCATATTGGATTATGACATTTGACTGTTATTGATATTTCTCAAAAAAAAAAAAGGATTGATCTTCTGTAGCTGCAGGATAGATGCAGTAGTACCTACAGTACTGCTGTATATATATTTTTTAACATATTAACACATGATTCAATTGATACTGAGAGTATTTTCAAATAAAGAAAAGTACAAAGTTACGTTGACCCAATGAAATGCCAAAAAACGAAAGTACAAAGATTCTTCTAGAATCTATTTGTTTTATTTTACAAGAATGCCTCGATGCATTTTGTAATTTTTCTTTCTTTAAATATTAAATATCTATTATTCATCAATTACTCATCTTGTTGCACTTTTTCATACGCTAAACACAGCATGTTTGACATTTTGTAGTTATAGCTGAAACAGTACTGGACAAAACGTAGAGGTTTCTAGACAATGCTTGTTTTGTTGCTCTTCATCAAGATTGTGCCTGGTTTTTTTTTCTACTGATGCACTATCTACTGAATGTGATACTCTGTTTTTAAGGGACCCCAAGTGGATTTAAATGAGAGTTATCTATCGTACGATATTTCTCTTCAATAACTCTAGCTGTATAAAGAAGTTGTAAGTCACAATCAAACACTTTATGATGAATATTTGTCAAATTGTTTCTATTGGTCAGTTCTGATCAATCACACAAATTGTTCTTCCCAACCAACAAATTACACAAATGCTTGGAATTTTTTCAAAGTTTTGATTTTTGTTATAGAATTAAGTTAAAGACTTTTAAAGACTTGGACTGCCTTATCACAATTCAGAATTATTCTTATATTTGTGATGTTTTTTGTATTTTAGCTGAACATGCATTTCATGAAGAAAATTCCTAAAGAGGCTGAAGCGGCTAATATTCTTGTGGGCGAGGTTGACTTCCTGAACTATCCTATTGTCGGATTCACTCGCCTTCTCCATTCTCAACTAATGGGGGATCTCACAGAGGTTCCTGTTCCCACCAAGTTCATCTTCTTCCTGTTAGGACCCAGGGGAAACCAGAACAAGTTCCATGAGATTGGTCGCTCCATAGCTACTCTCATGTCCGATGAGGTGAGTTTATATAACAAGTTCCATGAGATTGGTCGCTCCATAGCTACTCTCATGTCCGATGAGGTAATTTTTTAGAACAAGTTCCATGAGATTGGTTGCTCGATAGCTACTCTCATGTCCGATGAGGTGAGTTTATATAACAAGTTCCATGAGATTGGTCACTCCATAGCTGTACTTACATCTGTTGCCTTCTGATCTTGTAGAAAAGAAAGATAAGAAAGGACTAAAACATGTTTTCATTTAGTCAGTTCTAATGGTAAATTTCACATTATAAAACATTAGAGTTGGTAATGAGGAATTTCTGTCGATTATCTTTCTGTTTCGGATATGTTCTGAATTACACATGTTATAAAACATCAGTTATTTCTCAACTGTCCTCCAGAGACAATCAGAGACAATATGTATTAATTTGTGTGTATTATTTAACACAGGTATTCCATGATGTGGCATATCACGCCAGAAACCGTGAAGACTTGTTAGCTGGTATTGATGAGTTTCTGGACCAGGTAACAGTGCTGCCCCCTGGAGAATGGGATCCCAGCATCCGTATCGAACCACCACAGAGTGTTCCATCACAGGTAAGATAGATTGAAATATCTAAGATCTAAACATACCCATCTAGCCATAGCAATATAAAAGGTTGAATTTTAGCTCCATTTTGCATCCATGGTGTTTTGATTTCAATTGACCCCTGAGCTTGTGTTCTCCCTACAGACAAGTCGTAAGACAGCTCCTTCAGGCCAGACCCCCTCAGGAAAAGCAGATGTGGAGGAAGAGGTTGAGGAATCCCATGGAGACGACCCTTGTCTCCAACGTACAGGCAGGTCAGTAATTTGGGTTTATGCGATTATACAAAAACATTATTTGTGTAAAAATAGATCAATAAAGAATTCAGGAAATAATTTCTGCAAAAATTAGGATTCATGAACGGTAAGTAGACATCTCCGTCTGAAATTTCATTCTTAACTCTATCGAATATTTCAATGTTGAATTTCATAGAGTCATGAATTATCAATTTATCAATTTTCACTTTACTTTGGAAATTTTGAGAACTGATTTAGATGGTAAACATACAACCTCATTGAACAGATCATGTACCGTAAATTGTTTTCTCGTAAACAAGAGGAGGTAACTCATTTCAAATTAAGTAGACATAGATGTCAGTTGTTCGTGTTGCAGTTAATGTGCGATATGTCATATGCAATAATTACGTAATTGTCTACCCTAGGGAGAGTGCTTACATAGGCTTTATTCACCCTGTTGTCCAATACTTACAAACTTTTCAATACAATCTTTGTGGAATGAAAATCTGATAAATTATAGAAGTTGTTTATTAAGAAATGATCTATCAGGTTACAACTTTCAGACTGATGATAAAAACTTTGTCTGGTCTGCGATTGCTGCTCATCTGCATATCAATTCACTACATACAGGTTTTTTGGAGGTTTGATAGACGATGTGAAGAGAAAGACACCATTCTACGGGAGTGACTTTAAAGACGTACTACATGTACAGTGTATAGCCTCGTTTGTGTTCCTCTACTTCGCTTGTCTGACACCAATCATCACCTTTGGGGGTCTCCTCGGAGATGCTACAAAAAACAATATGGTCAGTGGCAAAACGAAAGGATGTCTCCATAATGTGTATTCTACTTTCTACGATAAAGTCAGATATACTCTAGGGATTTCCTATTTTTACTATTTTTAGGGATAGAGTGTAATTGGGGGGAAATAGACAACTTAAACAGATGTATTAAAGAGGGAAAACTAAGCACAGTTTTATAACTTCTGTAAAATATATCTCCTGTTTGCATTAAGATTTTGGTAACATCGCAAATGTATTGAATTAGCGGATTATAATACACAATATCACAATATTACAATATAAAGTAAGCTCCCTGTAATGGTTCTGATATAAAAGTAAAGGAACCAGATATATATATTAATGATTGGGAATCATTGATCAAAACCTATGTTTGTAACAGATCTCATTTGTCTCTACTTTGGTTTGAACCTGAGACATCAGGCTTGCCTGGCACAAACTCAACACATTGAGACAAAGAGATCTTTCAAACCAGGCAGTATATTACTGCTAATAAATAAAAGGCTTACATCCATTCCTTTGAGATCCTTCAAATTTTTTTGCCAGAATCAGATAATGTCTGATCTGAAAATATTCCCCGATTTTGTTGAACTGCCCTTAGTTAATTATTAATTAATGTTTACACAGCTTATATGTAGTTCTTACAACTGTCTTGTGTTACATGAGGCAAGAGTCCTACTGACATTGATCTCATTCTTTGATATTGGATTTAGGCGGCATTTGAGAGTATCCTGGCAGGAGCCATCTGTGGTGTGGTATACGCCCTCTGTGCTGGACAGCCTCTGACCATCCTTGGTAGCACAGGACCAGTCCTGGTATTTGAAACAATTACATTCCAGTTTTGTGGGTAGGTTATGTTAAAATAAATATTCCTTTTACTCTGCTTCTTACACATAAAGAACATGCCATCTAATATGGAGCAATATCCATTGACATTTTTTATAGATAATTATCAGATATGTGAAGATTGTGCTGTCTAGCTGTAACTATACAACAGTTTAAAATGTTTTGGGTGAAAATTAGCCTAGAATTAAAGGCGGGTGAATGAATCTATTTCTGTTTTTATATGACCCTGGCTTTTTTAAAGGCAGTTAACTATGATGAGTTACAACTGTATATACCAATATTATTCTATAAATATTCAGTACTTTTATGTCTGCTATTTTGGCTTTTTTTTTGTTTTTTTGTAAACTTTTCATTAGACAAAAACTTTCCTCGTATCTCATTGATTTTTTCCCCTTTTTTATGATTTATACTGTATGTGTGTGTTGATAAAGTTAGTTTGTTTAAGTTGTATTGCTGAAGGGAGATAACTCTTTTATTATTTTTTTTTCTCAGTGATATGGGTCTAGATTATTTAGAACTGAGATTTTGGATAGGGATATGGACTGGAATCATTCTGATCACCATGACGGCATTTGACCTCAGTGCACTGGTGCGTTACATCACCAGATTTACGGAGGAGAGTTTTGCTCTTTTAATCTCCCTGATCTTCATCAAGGAAGCCATCGCCAAAGTGGTCCACATCAAAGACAAGTACCCTGTTAACTTTCACCCAAGTCTCTTTTTTCCATGTAACTGCCTTGTTTTTAATAATATCACCAAGGATACAGACATATATCCAATCGAAGGCAAGGCAAAATACTGGTCCAACTTCACCAAGCTGGACTGTGAAGGACTGGAGGGAAAGCTGGATGGAGAAGGCTGTATAGATTACAAAGCTGATATCTTTTTCCTCTCCATTCTTCTCTTCATCGGAACATTTACCCTCGCCTACTCTCTCAAGATGATGAGGAACAGTGCATTTTTCCCTAGCTTTGTAAGTGTGGACAGAACCTAGTCTATAACATAATGATAAACACTAAAAAGTTAGAGATGGTACTTACTTGTTAATTCAACAATGATCCCACCATGTCTGGTAGTGAGTTATATCTACCGTATTTATCAAAATAATAACCACATGTCCTGGTAATGAGCTAATCCATGTCTGTTTATGTGCTATAGAATTGTAAACAAATGGTATTTCATTGTCCTGTAATAAGCCTAACCCCTGACATTGAGACAGAGGTTATGAAAATGTTACTTATAGTTCCCACCCACCCCTGGCTTACTGCGTGATAAGTATAATACTTACAAAGTTGAAAAGTAATCTTCAATCTGCTTATACTTTAAAATGGTGCCAAGATTTTGTGGTTTTGAAAAAAAAATGACTGTTTCATCAATGTTTGATTTCATGGATAAAAAGTTTCCATGATACCCACAAATACAAAAATTTAATGTCAGTTTTAAATTGTATCAGTCCATGGACATATAGTTTCTTTGCTTTAGACCATCGATAAAAACTCTGTGAAAATTAACTATTTTACACTGATATCAGTGAGTTATATTGCATATGTTGAAACATTGATGCTTGTCTTACAGGTGAGAACCATTATCAGTGACTTTGCTGTTCTCATAGCAATTATGTCAATGGTAGGACTTGATGCTGGCCTGGGATTGGACACACCAAAACTTGAAGTCCCTGACAGCTTTGCTGTAAGTCTCATAACTTCTTGAACTGTACACTTTTTTTTTCCAATCGAAATTTGTATGTAAGGCTTCTTCATAGTTCCATTTCCATCATTGCACAAGCATTGACTTGATTTTTTTAATCTTAGATGTATTGAAATATCCTGGTGTAGAGTATAGGGGCTTAAATTTTATATAAAAGATAATAATGGGTTTATTAGAAACAAGAATGAGAGAGTAAAATCTTTGCAATAACAACTACTGTATAATGTTAGGTCAATTTTCGCTTAATTTGTACGACTATTCCCTCTGCTCATAAAATTTTTTTTTAAAGTAAGTTTTAAACTATTTCAAGGGTTACTTTATTAGCTGTTTGAATTTTGTTGTTTAACACTCATTTTTAACTTGTTGAAACCAACAATGTTTATTGTTGATCAAATTGATTCTTCAGATGGCTACCAAAGCTAGTTTAGCATTGAGCTTTATTTCTTCATTTAACGGGTTTTACGTCCACTATTATGACCTTTCCCCTTTCAGTAGATGAGTAGATTTGTAAGTAATATAAGTTTGTATATGTTTAGCCAACCAAGGCTGGTCGCGGATGGATAATCAATCCAGTCGGTAAGAATCCCTGGTGGACTATTATTGCAGCCATTATTCCGTCACTGTTGGCAACCATTTTGATTTTCATGGACCAACAGATCACAGCCGTTATTGTTAACAGGAAGGAGAATAAACTAAAGGTAGGTAACTGTATTATACAGAAAATACTGTAAACATACATGTTCTAGCGGTAATTTTATATTTGCAATTTTTTTTTAAGCTTAAGATATAGCACTAAAGTATAACAAAGCTATTTCCAGTTTCTATATGTTGTTTAAATAGCAATTATGGTGGATGCATGAATTTGTCAAGTAAGGATCAAGCACTAAAATTTCATTGTGCTAAATTTGATAGATTTACAGAAGAGTTGTCATGGCAATATAAAACACAAACTTATGCTCCGACAGATCAAGGGAAACTGGCACAAAATAGAAAATGACTCCTGTACTATACAGTTAAGAACATTTTAGGAAAAATAAAATATCGTCATCAGATATTATAGATTTCAAAGGCAAATTTATACAAATTACAGCTCTCATTGAAATTGAGGAATAGTTAAAACCATAAAAAACACTCTAATATATATTAAGTATATTTATATGTAAAATGGTTGTATTTCTCAGGCTCTGCCATTTTGGTGTAGCTCGAAAGCTATGTAGCAAATAAGATTAAAATTCCAACCCCATATGCATTTTAAGTTCATCTTGCTGCAAAAAGTGTTCAAAATGACGGAGGTCAACTTTATAGTACAGAATAAAACCTAGTAGCTTCCTTTTGTGTAGTTTTCCTTGATGGATGGGTTTATCTTGTTGACAGACAAAGGGGAATTTTCAGGCTCATGGAGTTTTTAGGTCATCTGATTGAAGGGTATGATGACCTATTGGGATTGCCTTTTGTCCGGCATCATCCGTCGTAAACATTTTCAACTTCTTCTCAAGTTCTACATGTCTCATTGAGATGAAACTAACCTGAAATGATTGTTTGTTAATTTCGGGTTGGTCCAAAATCCAACATGGCCGCCATCTTGAAAACACTTTTTCGACTTCTTCTCAAGTTCAAAATTTGAAATCTTGTATTTTATGTCAGATGACCATTAAGGCCCATGAGCCTCTTGTTTAATTTTTTGTACAAAAGATCTGAAAATGAGTTTTTGTTTTTCTGCAGAAAGGGAAGGGTTATCATCTGGACCTTTTTATCGTCGCTATTCTGATCATGATCTGCTCCTTTCTGGGATTGCCATGGTTTGTTGCTGCCACTGTTCTCTCCATCAATCATGTGATGAGTCTGAAACAGGAGTCTGAATGTACAGCTCCAGGAGAGAGGCCAAAGTTCCTGGGTGTCAGGTAAGCATGGGCACAAGATCAAATCTGGGAGAATAGTTTTACTGGTCAGAAGAAGAGGTGAATAAATATTGATGTCTGTTACTATGGTAACTGTTTTGTATTGAAGGGAGCAGAGGGTAAAATGTTTATGTCTGTTACTATGGAAACTGTTTTTTTATTGTAGGGAGGAGAGGGTAAATTTTGATGTCTGTTACTATGGTAACTGTTTGGTATTGAAGGGAGCAGAGGGTAAATTCTGATGTCTGTTACTATGGTAACTGTTTTGTATTGAAGGGAGGAGAGGATAAATTTTGATGTCTGTTACTATGGTAACTGTTTTGTTTTGAAGGGAGCAGAGGGTAACTGGAATAGCCATCTTCTTTGTGATTGGGATGTCGGTGCTGCTGACAAGAGTGCTGAAGGTAAAAATGATCTAACAAAGAATTCCTGCTAATTACTATGAAGGCAACCTTTTAGAGGTAAAGGCTTTCATTATCCTCCACTCAGTGTATTTAGCAGCGACTATACTCTACAACTTGTTTATAGTGGGTTGTATTGGGCTGATGAAATAATATTTTATTAATGGAAAACACTATATCCTTCATGGGATAAATCACGGGCATAATTCAAATGTGAATGTAGAAATCAACTCTGTACACTGCTTGTAGGCAGTCAGTTAGGAATTGGTACATTCCATATCAGGTTATCTATAAGTACTACATGCTTACTACTTGCATGAAGCAGATTGTTCTAAGGATTAATAACACCATAGTTCATCATGTGTCTTTGGTATTAAGCTTACTAGTTATGGATAACCAGAATTTATCACTTTAAATAGGGTACCCTCTCAGTTTTTGGAGTAAAATCAAGGGTATGAGGGTTTAGCAATACATATACATATGGAACTTCTGTATTTCACAATACTTGTATCGATAAACGTTGAAAAAATCAGAAAAAATAAAACTGTTTTGCAATGGGTGCTGCTAGTGAGTTTGTCAAAGATTGATTGTGCGTGTTCTTGCTGGGGTTTTGGAATTATAATTTTCAAAATTCATTGCATACCTCAAGTATTTAGTAATGAGACCTTGTGTTTTTTTTAGGCTCTGCCGATGCCAGTATTGTATGGTGTGTTTCTCTACATGGGTGTGTCCTCTCTACGAGGGATGCAGGCTGTGGACCGAATCATGATATGGTTCATGCCTCAGAAGTACCAACCAGATGTCATGTACCTGCGACATGTCAGAACTGTGCGGGTCCACATGTTCACCATTATACAGGTCCTCTGCCTTGCATGTCTGTGGGTCATCAAAACTATCAAGTCCATCTCAATCGCATTTCCACTCATGGTATGTAAACATTCATTACAGAGCAAAACTAATATCTCAGAGTCAAGCCAATCTTTGATAAGTGAATCTCTTACCTGATCTAACATCAGTGTGCTTTAATATTTCATAATGGCTGCTATTATACAGGAACTTTACCTGACCCACCGTCAATGTTCTTTAATAATTCGTAATGGCTGCTATTATATAGAAACTTTAACCTGACCTGCTGACGATGTGCTTTAATATTTCGTAATGGCTGATATTATACAGGTACTTTACCTGACCCACCGTCAATGTTCTTTAATAATTCGTAATCGCTGATGTTTTACAGGTACTTTAACCTGACTTAATCCAAACGTGCTTCATACATAAGTTATCTCTGGTATTTTACAGGTACTTGCAATGTGTTTCGTACGTAAGGGAATGGATTGGATATTCACGCAGACAGAACTAAAATGGCTAGATGATATCATGCCGGAGTCACACTCAAGAGCCAAGGAAGATGCCAAGAAGGAGGAAAAAGAACAAAAAGTAAGTCAAATAATCACGGGAAATATTGATTAGGGTAGAGCACGCTTTGTCCGCTTTGTAAATACATTTTGTATGTAAAATCAAATTGCAATATTCTGATCAGCATTTTGATTTAACATTTTTTAGGTCACCTGAGCCAAAGGTTTTCGTTAACCTTTTGTCCATACTTCTTCTCAAGAACTGTTGAGCCAATTTTAACAAAACTCTGTCACTAGCTTTAATACCTGAAGGCATCAAAATTGTAAAATTTGTGGTCCCCACACTCCTAGGGCCTATGGGGCGGGGCAGAAACAAAGCAAAAAACGTACTGCTTTAAAAAAAATTCTTCTCTACTTGAACACAAAACCAAAATAAGTGCTAAATAATGTTTTATATCTACTGTAAAAGAGTAAGTCTAGCAAAGTTTAAAGTGTAAGTAGTATTTAGCCTCTTAGGGTGAGGAAATTTCTAAGCCAGGCAAAAATACTGAAACAGCAACTGCTTGAAAGCCATCAGCATTTAGTAAATGTATATGTGTTCAGTATGGAAGCATATTCCAGCCATGTTGTGTTTTATTTTATCGCAAAATTTCGAGATAGCAACTCGAAATTTTGAGTCAGTAACTCAAAATTTCGAGTTAGTAATCCGAAATTTCGAGATATTAACCCAAAATTTTGAGATAGCAACGCAAAATTTTGAGATAGAAATTCAAAATTTAGAGGTATCATGCACATGCAAACAAGTAAAGATAAATATTAAAATTGCTTTCTGTATAGAAAGTTATATCCTGATAGCATCAAAACTACTTAATCCTCAATTTCAAGACAACTGTCATTTTAATATTCTCCTTATAAAGGAGGTTTGAGACATATATATATCATATTGTGTTTGTGAATTTTATATAACTATAGCTGATTTCTAGATTTTTGATGAAAGAGCTCCAATTGATATTGATGTTTTTCAGTTAAATGTTCACACCATCAAACTACAGGTTTACTGCACTTAGAAGATATTAAAAAGTCTGCTAATACATTGGATATGAAGCGACCTTGTGAAAATGTATATAATATTTAAATGATTTGATGTTTACAGGAAGAGGAACAGAGCATGCTGTTAGATCCAAATAAATACACTCCAGGCCATGTCAATCTGCCGCTCCAGACCGGCAGCTTCATCAATATCCCGGTAGATCGTGTCACTGTAGGCATGGAGATGGAACCAGTGAATATCTCTGAGGAAATGGCCAAGACCACACTCTGGAAAACAATAGTGGCTAACGAATCATCTCCTAACCTTCATGGAGACAGTGTTAAAAAGTAAGTTTCTAATTGGATCTGAACCTCAGTGTTAGCAGGACACATATAAAAACAGGGAATTACCTTAAAGACTCAGATTGAACAAGGTATTTTCCTTAAGACAAAGTAAGTAAGTAATTCTCTTAAGATGCAGAAAAACAGGAAAACTACTAAAGACACAGAAAAAAAATTAGGTCATTCCTTTTGAGACGCAGAAAATTAGAGATTCTCTTAAAAACACGAAAAGATACCCCTTAAGATACGCACAAAAAAAATCCCAAAAAACAAGAATTTCTAATTGACTCTGAGATAAGAGATCTGTTAAAAATACAGACAAAAAAGGGATTTCTCTAAAGACAGAAAAAAACACATGCAAATGTTCACTTTGCTAAATTTAGATTCAAAAGCTGGCCTTGCAGTTACAAAATAAGATATGGTATCTTTTAGTCATGCTTCCTTGTAGTAAATTAGTGATGATCGTGTTTCACAGATATTTGTTTACTTTCAGCCACAAGTCCAAATACCCAGATGATGACCATAATTCACATGGCCATCATAAACACAAGTCCAAAAAGAACAAGATGCCTGTTCAGTTCTACATCGACGACGAGGAAAAAGAGCAGCTACTAGATGATAAACCAAACAATCCTGCAAAAATAGAGATTGTGGTTGACCCTCCGAGTACGAAGGGTTCAATCAGTCGAATTGATGAGGACACCGTCTGTTAAACTTAGCCAAAATAGTCACATGTTTAATTGCTGTTATTACAGTTAGTTTGTTGTTTGACCTGTAGGACTAAATATGCAATATTTATATATCATTATAACAGATCTCACCAGTACAGGGAGATTAATTAGTGTGTCTAGGGTTTGCTAAGTCACACAAGGCATCAGAATGGCCTCATTATGTGCTACGGTGTCGGAATAGGCCCTGTCAGTTGACAAAGTGATGTATCGGGGATGGCCATGTGATGTGAGGTGATGTGTCACACGTGACAGTTCCATACCATAATCTTAGTCTCACTTTGTTGATTTGACTGTGTTACATGACATCGGCACTTGACTTGAAAATTCAGAACCTGAAAATTTCTGGAATGTTTTTAGAAACTTATTTTTTTATTGAGACCTCTGTGTGGAATATTCTCTGCAAACAAGGAAACATTCCAGACAATATTTTGATTCTAAATGTAGCCTGGGATTTGGAATTCAATTTGTTATGTCAGATAACTATGAATTGGGATAGTAATTTGTTACTTTTGACATCATTTAAAGTCAATATGATTTATTCCAGATGGTGTTTATCAAAATATAGTGATACCTCAAATATTATTTATCATTCTATCTGCAGTATTGTAACCTTGATTCCTTGTAGAGATCAGCAGGTTAAAGTTCAGAGGTCACAATTGTCCCAGCTAATCATTGGTGATTTTCCTGACTTGTCTCCAGTTACTTTTAGAACACTATACCTAAAATAGTTATTGCCTTTTATGTTTTCACAGTAAGAGGGTTATAGCCCTTTACAAATTATGACCTTCATATCAGTTTTATAATAACAAAAGTTTTTGCCCTTTTTTCTCATTTGTTGTGTTTCTAATATATTTTTTGAGATCTATTCCTCAAATCCAATAACAAAGAAAAGTAGAGAATTTATTTTTAAGTGTGACTTTGGGCTGGAATATTGCACATTTCTGATTAAGGCATCGACGTGTTCAGTTCCTACTTTTATTCTGAGTCTAGTCTAGTCTGCTTAAGCTTACCATAATCCATAGCTCTTTGATTGGCAATCAAACAAATTTTGGAGCTCGAGATTACGGTAAGATTTGAAGACTATCCAATTGGATATTTCCAAGTAAGTTCAGTCTCTCCATGTCGCACTCTTCATGATTTCTCTTTGTTGATGTTTCATTTTCATTTTTTTAGGAATGATATTTTAAAATAATGGAATTTTAGGTACTAGCATTTACCTTTCCATTTATTCTGTAATATGCTGAAGTTGGCATCTTATCAGCCATTTGATAAATACAGTATCAGTTTAGTGAAGTATGAAATTATAACTTGATTTCATGAGGTGCGTTAAAGATTTGTTTGTCAGTACTATGTTTAATGATACATTAAACATAACTCTATATACATGTATGTGATAAAGTGACAGAAATGCATTTTAACAGTACTCTACCATTTGGTCATGTTACATGAAAAAACTGATTTGATGTTAGTGTGTGCTAAACTTTGTGAAAAGTGAGACCGTCATTCTGTCTGGTTGATTGTTTAATTATTATCAACCCTACCTCTCCCAATATGTCTGTTGATCCGAAATCCTTGTCATGATTACACCCGAGTCTGGTAGAGGCAAATGTTATCGATTTCTATCATTATCCATATATATTGCTAATGTCATATAAATTATCTAGAATCAGATCAGCGGATTTTGTAAACTGTTACCATTTATGTCCCAGATATTGTTTAATTTTGTAGTATCTACAAGCATGGTGATCATGGGACACCTACATTTTATGGAAGATAGTACCGAAAAGTCCCATAGCTTATGTCCTTATTCTTAAAGACTCATTAGAAGTTTCATCATAATCTTGTCTCCTAATGTGTTGTTTATTTACAACCATTATATCACTTGTTACCTCCCTTTGTATCATTTAATGTGTGTCCATGTTTCATTTGTTATCTCCCTTTGTATAAATTGAGATTTTTCCATGTATCATGTGTTATCTCCCTTTGTATCATTTTATATGTTTCCATGTATAATTTGTTGTCTCCCTTTGTATCATTTATTATCTGCCTTTAGGTCCCTGGTTATCTCCCTTCATGTCAAGTTATCTCCCTTTATATCCTTTGATAACTAGAATCTAACATTATATTGCAATAGCTGTTATATATCATATGTTATAAGTATTGGGACTGATTGAAAATTCAAATTGACACATGTATATATAGAAAGGGATTTTCAGTATGTGTCATTATCACATACTTATTGTACTAAAACTCATTGTAGTATTTTATTGTGATAATTGTTTATAATATAGGTATAATGAATCATAATTACTGCAATTAAATCTTACTATTTTTTTTCAAATCCATTAACTAATGAATTCCCCTTGCAGAATTAATTATTTTTTTTATTCACCAAGTTATTTTTAGAGCATGTAGACCATGTATTGTCTCATTTCATAAATAAGTCCCTGACGTTTTAGTTTTTAATCTTTTACCGATTCATTTACAGCTTGTTAGATTTTTAGGGATTTGTTTCCTTTATTTTTTTTTTATTTATTTTTTTTTTTTTGTTTAACAATAAGTTATTTTCATTGGCTCTTTATAGTGAGATCTTTTGTTTATTTTTTTCTACCTTTGTTTTAATCTTAGATATATATATATGTATCAGATGAAATCCATGCCTATGTAAGAATAAAAAGTGTCCCGGTATACTCACCAAAATATTTCAACCAGTCAAAATTAAATTGCGGAATATAAGCATGAAAACAGCTATACTTTGGTTCGCTACATGGATGCACAAATATACGGGAAATAACCAGGATTCATAGCAATAATTTGTCCTGTCTTGTTACAGCATCTTACACCATGTTGAATGACCTTTTTTTTAAAATAAACTACCTTATATCTTATAATCCGTTTTATTACCATATCAACAGATAGCACCGACATGTAACACTGCATTTTCTTTTCATTTTCTCAGAAAATACATAAATGTTTATGTTATTTGTATATAAAAAGTTCAGTGATATGAATTTTGCCTGCATATCCTTATAAAGTAAATAGAAGAGGGAGAGAGATGCATGATATTTTAGGTTGTAAAGCTGACAAATCTTTAAACAATACTGATGTATGTAATATTGTAGATTGTTTAGCTGACAAATCTTTATACAATACAGATGTGTGTAATATTGTAGGTCGTTAAGCTGACAAATCTTTATACAATACAGATGTGTGTAATATTGTAGATTGTTAAGCTGACAAATCTTTAAACAATACAGATGTGTGTAATATTGTAGGTCGGTAAGCTGACAAATCTTTAAACAACGGAGAGAAAGAGAGATGTGTTATTTTGTATGTCATTATACTTACACATATTTAAACATTAGTCCTAATCTGGTGTAATATTGACATGACTTTGAGAGTGAATTGATAGATCCAGCTGTGACTGTGAAGGTTGTCTGACTCTGAAGAAAAGAGTGTATGAGAGAGACTTATTTAAATCCAAAAACGTGGAGATGAGTACTTCGTAGTAAGATTCCTCGGTGTATTCTGAAATTTGATGACGATAATTTGTTTTATGTGTTCAGTTAGAGTTAAATGAATTAATACTAAATATGATATATAGTACATTATATTTTTTCGACGTCACTAGTGAAACAGGAAAATATATTGCATAGCAGTTGTGTAATTCATAGTGCTTTAGTCAATACTGGATCATCTGTGACATCTAAAAGGTATTGTTATACACATGTTATGATGATGTCATAGGTTTTGTAATGATGTCATCAGAAATGATGATGGTGATGATGTGCTCATGTATTGTGATATTATGAATGAAATGCTTATTCCGTATGGTGATGATGTCTTGAAAAAGTAGCCAAAGTGTCATCACCATATCATTGTGATTACTCTACCCTTTTTCTGTAATTTTGTGATTTTAAGAAATAATTTCAAGTTATGTCATTGTATCATCATGTCATCATTTTTGTGATGATGTCATTAATTTATGTGATGTCTATATTATATGATGTCATAATTTTTGTGATGATGTCATCATTTGATTTGATGATGTCATAAATGTATGTCGTTTTATGTGATGTCACCATTTTGTCAATTTTTGATGACATCACCGTTTAATATGATGTCATTATTAAAGTTCAATATTTTGATTATGTTTTCGTTAAATGTAGAAATGTCGATTTGTGTAGCAATGTACCATATCAAGTAATCAAGAGAAAATTGTACTGATTTGTGACTTTATGGCTAAATTATTATGAATAGTACATGTATCAAGGTCAATTTTTTGATTGATTTTATTTAATGTTCTCTAAATGTGCTTTTAATGTTTTTGTCTCAGGAACATCTAGCATTTGTTGATTATATTAAATATTCTGTTTCTGTGTGTTATTTAGTGCAAATGTCTTCTTCCTGTCCTAATTATCAAATCCCTTAACTGCAATTCAAACAGAAACGACTTGTATTTATTTGTTAAAAAATTCTGTCTGGGACCTACTTATAACCCCAGTTATATTAATCATGTATGAAAATAAATGAAATCCAGAAATCAAGAGTGTGGTGGATACCACAAATGATTTGTGTAAAAGATGTTAAAAATCAAAAGAATATCATAAGGAAGGAAGATTTCATCAAAGAATAGGTCAAACCGTTATAACACCGAAGAGTTTTGTTTTGTTTTGTCTTTTTTTTCGAAAAGTTGGATACGCTCTTTAAATTGGTGTGTTTGTCTCTTGTGTAATCAAAAAGTAGAAAAGTTTGGTATACCCCTGCCCCCATCATGTTTCTGTCATTTAATTCAGTTATCAAAAATAATTCAAACTCCATCTTTTTTTGGGGAAAAAAATATTTCTTTGATGCCATTGCTGTTAATGGAGTGAATATAGTATTCATCTTTTAGTCCTAGCATTCTGTTTCATTTCACAATTTAAATAGCTGGAACTACATTGATATCAACATAGTTGACAAGATTCACTGCACCATCACAGATTCCACTCAGTAATGTTTTTACACTGATGTGTAATATTCCTAATTTCCCAAAAGTTGAATTTGTGATTTTGAAATTTACTTAACTGGTCTACAAATTCTAGCATTTATCTTGAATTTGCTAATTGTCTCCCCCTGCGAAAAAATACCCTAAACATGAGAACAGCCCTGTACAACTTTTATATAAGCCTGTATTCTTCTCCAAACTAATGTTATTATTTAAAGTCTCTGCTTTTACATTGTGTTTCTTCCTACAATGTTTACAACTCAACTCTCCAAGAAAAGAACAAATCAAATTTGATTCAGCAATACAAAATGTATTAACATCATCAGATTGAAATCATTTATGATAATTTTTTCTTGAATAAAAGATGACTTTACAACCAGTACTTATGAGTTGTTTCTGATTTTAGTCAGAGAGATAAGACTATACCCCAGTCACTTTATCTTGGGGCAGGAGAAAGCATATAGCGTCTGTCTGTCTGTCTGTCTGTCTGTCTGTCACCTCCCATACTAAATCAACACCTTATTTTGAGAACTTCTCCATAGAAATGGTTCATACTTACCTCATAGTATCAACATCATTTTCTATATCTGAAATGATTCTGGTTTTTCATGGAAGAGGAAACATTCATGTCTTACAAATTTTTTTAGTTATATTGCCTAATTCTCTGTCAATTTAATGGTTGGTTAGCTCACCTGGCCCAAAAGGAGCTATAGGTATGCTGTTGTCTCTCAACTTTTTTGCCTGCCATCATCATCTGTCGTCCGTCTGTCCGTCCGTCATTCCGTAAATAATTCTTGTCATCCCTATTTCCTGAGAGGTCCTGGATGGATCCCTTAGTCCCTAGTTGTCCCCCTGTTATTTTCGGACTGATTAGAAAATCAACATGGTGGAATTGCAGCCATCTTTGATTTTGATTATGAAAATTTGTTATTTCTCTTTCTTGAGAAGTACATGTATCTTTCTTAAATTTCAATGTAGGTGCCCTTTAGTGCCTAGTTGTGCCTGTTTGTGTTTGGGATTGACCAGAAAAACAAAATGGCCGACAGGCAGCCATCTAAGATTTACCTAGTAAAGATTGCTATTACTATTTCTTAAAAAGTACTGAATGGACATCTCTCAATTTTTTTACGTATGTTTCCTTTGGTCTGTCCTTGTGCTCGTTTGATTTTGGGACTGATCAGAAGAAACAAAATGGCTTCCAGGTGGCCATTTTGGAATTTGCAAGTGAAGATTACCAGATTAACAGAGAAGAAAAGTGAAAAAAGGGAAAATATCCAACTTTCAAAGAGCATATAAAGATCAAACAATGGTGGACGCCAAGATCCCTCTGGGATTTCTTGTTGTATAAAATACAAATAGTCTTGAACGATTGATTTGGTCTGAAGCATGCCTAGTTGAAGAGAAATCAGTGACCCACTTGGTGGCCAGAGGGGCAGGGTTCAAAGGGGAAAAATCGATTTTCTTTTTTCAAATCCGTCTTGCTCATCAGGGATAGCATTATAACGTCAAAATTTGGCCTGCAGAATGCTTGGAGGAAGAGAATTCAGTTTAATATAATCAGTGAAAGTCGGCCTCCTGGAGCAAATTCTCTATAATCCTTGTGGAGGAATACCTGGATGTTCAATTTGATATGAAGTATGCATGGTGAAGAGGATTAAACCAAATAGAATTAGACCAATACTTTAAAATCCTCCTGCAGGACTGGATTTCCCAAATTAGGCCTAAAGCATTGTTGGATGAATGGGAATTAAATTTGTATCAGTTGTAGGTCTCTGCCCCTTGGGGCGAGGACAAATAGGTAAAATAGAGCAAATTCCTTAAAATCCTTCTGTTCAAACTAAAGAAATCTTTGGCAAAGAGAACTCAGTTTTGTACAAGCAGTGCATCTAGCCCCCTTTGAAAGAAGGTATGAGGCTATTACAGGGAAATACATCCTACTGATTTCCTTTAATTGTAGTTAATCAATATTAGCAACAAAACCAGGTGAACGAAAAGGGCCTCTGCTGTTGTAGTGGCCGTGCTTGTCACTCCCGGTTTGAGCTATCGCTGCTGGCTAGCAGTCATACGAAATAGGAGTGTTGTGTGTAAGCCTCTCTCTACCAAACATAGCCTCAGGAACAATGTACCTCATGGTGTGCCTCTCCATAGCATGTATGGTACCTGAGCGTCTTAGAGACTGAAGCTAAACTACAGATGACTCGGAGGAGGTCAGGACCCCAGCCATGTAGCACGGTAGCCCCTGGTTTGTGGATACGCCCTGGTCCCGTGAACTGACCCAAGCTACGAGTAATTAGCCCCACTGCTATGTAGGTGCCCCGGGAGAGGCAAATACCAGGGGAGTAAAACCTGCACAAATCCGGAGTGGAGCCGCTAAGGCGGATGTGCAGTCAACCTGATTTCTAATGTCCTTTACTTAAGACTCATCCAGCGAGACCAAGAGGAAGGGTCTTGACGCTTGGGCAACGCAGGACTTCCATATTTACTGCCCTGGAGAGAACACTCCAGCTTCGCTGGAATGGATGCCAGACTTTTCATCGATGTCAGCTTTCAAGAGCTCTAGAGGGCTCCCTTCCGGGTCCTTCCAGTAAAAAGGCTTGCAAAAGATGGGAGCACTGCACAGACGGACGCTGTCTAGAACGCTGACACGTCCACCTTTAGATAAAAGACCACCAAGTGGCCAGATTGGCTTGAGACTCACTCCTCGGAACTGATAACTGTGATCGAGGAGAAGAGACACATCCTGACTGTGTACAAAATTTGCCCCAGTGAACGGAATCTGTAGGTCCTCCGCCGAAAGATAACTGCAGCAGAACGTTAGACGATACTGATACATCACTGACTACTGGCTCCCGCTCTGCTCCAAGATTGCAGCTGACACCGGAAACATCAAAAGGCTGTGCGAAGGCAGAGAAGGAGATAACGGACTCTCACCTTTTGCAGTCAACCACAGCAAGGTAATCCTGGACCAGGCACAACAGATACTGCGCTAGATAAAACACTACACTGAACTTTACACAAAGGAGAACTTCGTCCCTGAAAACACCATCGAGGGCCTGTTTGTGTTGCAAGAGTTTGACAGAAAACCAACTCTCGGATAGCTGATCGAGGCCCTGGATAATGTTACCTTTAGTTAAGTTCCTGGAAAGGACGGCATTCCTGACTAGGTCCTGAAGAGCTGCAAAGGGACCCTATTCACTGAGATGCACGAAATTAACTGTCTTTGCTTGAAAGAAGGCAAATTGCCACGAGACAGTAGGGGTGCCACTCTATCAAAAAACAAAGGCGATATGGTTGACCGTAGCAATTATCTCGGGATTTCTCTCCTCAGCGTCCTCGGGAATCTCTTTGCTCGAGTCACACTAAAGAGGCTTCAAGTACTTTGCAGAGAGGGTCTACCCAGAATCAGTGTGGCCCACCATCGATATGGTCGTCTCTCTCGGACAGCTCAGAAGAAGAGCGATGAATAAAGGCAGCCACTCTTCATCGCCTTCATAGATCTGGTGAAGACATTCGACCTAGTCAGCAGGGATAGCCTCAGTTAGATCCCCAACAAAATCATCTGTCCACCTCGTTCATCTGTGAAGGCTGAAAGGGCACTGTGGTCTTCGACGGTTCAACATCGGACACATTCGACATCCGTAGAGAAGTAAAACGGAGCAAGACATTGCAACCATCCTGCTTGATACCGTCTTCATAGTCATACTTAAGCATGCCTTCGGAACTGCCACAGAAGGCATCTCTCTTTGGACCATGTCTCTACTGACAAAGCGAAGTCCAAAGTCTAACTGAATGCCTGCGGGACTTTTCGGAGACGGTACAGTAATCACCACCTGCTCAAAATGATCGGGGAGAAAGGCCGCCCAAAACCTGACCGACTGTCCAGCTTTGGACTACAAATGTCATTGGTGTGGGATGGACTACCATTCCCACACTAGCCTGTCCTGCCACATCCGACACTGTTCTAGAATTTTTTTCAGGACGCAACGTCATAGTCTCACCGAGACTACTATATCTGTCTATTTGTTAACCTTAACTCTTCGTGTCAAGAACACCTTCATAGAGTTCGACGAAATTTGGAGTCGGCCAACTTATTTTGTATAAACGTAGGGAATTATCTCCCTCGAAAAATAAAGCACGGATTTTTTAACCGATTCCGTCTTAATCATTATAGGGCGAAGGGTAACGTGAAAATACTGAATATGTTATTAATGGCTTAGAGGTACAGGCAACTTCCAAATAACGAAGACCGCATTGTCACATTATCGACTGAACAATGACCGGAAAAATCTCATAGGATTTCAGGGTTGGAAATTACAAAGTACACTCCCGTCTTCCATATTTCATGCTTGTCTTTTCAGATTGTCTTGTCTGAAAACGACATTGATTGCAGTCCTTATATGGGGTTTATAAAGTTAACCATACGTCAAAGTGAAAAGTTAGAAGCATGAAAGAGGATATAATATAGATATATAATAAAACTAATGATGTTTCACAACTGAATAAACGATGGTAATTTTAATATCATGAGTGATATAGAGTGAAAAAAGCGTCATTCTGAAACGTTGGCAGCAAATGCTACGAAGTTAATTACATATTTGTGTTATGATAGTTAAATAATTTACTGCACGAGCCTAGTTGAACACATTATCCGTGTCACGGTCTCAGCTCGTGCGTTACCCGTGTCAAAATAGCGACAACATTCAACAGGAAACAGAAACCGTCCAGACGATACCAAGGTTTGTGTCAGAAGGACACAACGGAAAGAACCTTAGTTTTACATTATGCTGATATGCATTAAGGCAACCGTTATATACCCCATGGAAATAGAATGAATGGACACGACATTGCTATTTTAAGGAAACGGCATTGATGCGTATGGAATTTATTTGAAAAAAAAAATCCAGTATTAATATCGAAAGAAATTGATATGGATACCATGATAACAACACACAATGATGAAACAAAGAAATGAAGTTTACTGGTGTCTCATGGATACGCTGATAATACCGTGTGAACTGCCATCACCTGGGGAAAACACATCTCGGTGTTACAAAACTTTTACGAAGTAGAGATGTCCCTTTCGGAAAAAAACCATGATTTTTTCGTTAGTGCTTGTTTTCGGGCGATTTCTTTGGACCTTGATACACGTTGTTGAAGGGAATACAGGTATGTAAAACAAAATAAGAAGTAGACAATGCGAGCATTTTTTGCAGTCTGTTTTCCGTTACGTATATTTTTGTTTCCAGTTATTACAGGTTTGTAGAATATATAGAAAACATATCACTGGTTATTTGTCAGGATCTTGTCTATGTAGACATTGGACATCCCAGTCTACATTCCCCTATATATTCTCATCTACATACCTATCTACATTTACATACC